TCCTTACAACTGTCTGGTGATTCTTGGCTCTCTGTTTATATTGAAAAGTCAAACAGTAGAAAGTGGGCTAGAACTTCCAGGTGCATGAGTGACGTATGACCACTGGTGACCTATAGACAGGTCAGGAGATGCGCTGGAAGTTTCACTGGGAAATCCCAAATATCAATAACTCTGCTAACTCTTTTCACCCTCAGCTACCTTGAATTCGTGAGTCTTTCTGAGACTTGTGTGAGGCAAATAGGCCTGTTTCTCATCAGCACTAAGTTTGGATTTCCTCTTCTCTGTTAAGTAATTTATGATTCTTCCAACTGCTTCCATGTCCATATATTGTATTAGGAAAGGTGTTTTCTCTTTTAATAAAAAAACAGAGTTATTATTCTTTTTGTGGTTTTGGAATATTTTGAGGGAGGAGAGTGGGTGGGAATAACATCTTTATGTCATCACCTAGGACTGGACTTTATTTATTTATTTATTTATTTGGACTAGATTTTAGAGAAATTTTTATGAGGGTTATAAGATAGGAAAGAGATTTGGTGGGTAGGGTAGGCAGAATCCTCAAGGTTTACTCCCCAAATTCTGGTCTTGTCTATTCAGTCAAACACGGATTTGAGGATTGCTCTGAAGAACTTTACTAATAGGGAGATTATCTTGGATTTTCCAGATGGGTCCAAGTGATTAAACTTGGAAGAAGGCAGAAGAGAAGCAGGAGAGTTGAGGTGGAAGGAGAAATCAGAGAGATCTGAAGCTTGAGAAGGGCTTGATCTGCAATTGTTGGCTTTGAAGACATAGGGGACCATGAGGCATGGAATGTGATCAGCCCCTGGAAGACAGGAACAAACCCTGGTCCCTCCTATAGCTCTGGCACCAAATGCTCCACCAATCGCGCCAGAACCAGATTCTCCCCAGAGCTTCCCACTAAGCGCCAGGCAGCTGACACTTCCGTTTTAGTTTGGCACACATCAGAGCACCGAGCCAGCCCCGCTGTATTTCTGACCTCAGGATAATGAGTGGTGGCTTTAAAAAGTCGTGCTATTTGTGGTAACTTGTTACGGTCACAATAGAAAACAAATACAGGGAGGCTTCTTCAGTGTGTGAGAGAGAGAAGCAGAAGGAAAGATGGGGGATGGGGGCATGGGACACTAGGAACTTGTGTTACGCATTGTGAATGGAGAAGCCCTTAGGCATGCCTGAGAAGATTTCACTAAACATGAAATGGAGCCATAAAAATACTGAGCTCTGTGAATTTCAGCTCTGAATTAGGAGGGTGGAAATTATTACCGAAAAGAGAGAATCACGTTGTTTCAACATGTGGTGGAGATTATTGTGATAACTGAAGGACCCTTCTCATTATTCCTGCCCTGTGTATCCCTTTTCATGTTAGCTGTGGGCTTGGCCATGTGACCTGATCTGGCCAGTGATACACCAGTAAACATGACATAACTGTAGACTTGATAAACTCATGTGCTCTGGGGTTTGCCTCTTTGGAACACTGTTGACCGACACCCTGTAAGGAAGCCTGCTGTTGGGGGGGGGAGCTTGGGGGGGAAGGAGCTTGGGAGGTTGAATATATTTTATGAACTCTTTTAAAATAACTGTCCTAATCTATTTGCATGCCTACAAACATTGCTAAATTTAAAAGTTAATATTTGAAAAAGCGCAAAATCCAGTGCGTAGGGCCTCTTCTCTCATCAGAGATTTCCAGCGCTGCCCATTATCTCCATTATCATCACAAAAGACCGAGACTCCTTAAGAGGCACTGGCAGGATTGAGAAGGAGGGTGAAGGAATTACTGCATGCATATTAATTTCTCTTCTTTTATCCTGTCTCATAAGTAAAAAAATCATTCTCGTTGTGGTTGAGTGGGTGGCAGTGGCTCACTTCTCCACGTCTAATTTCATAAATATGTGCTTCAATTAGCTTTTGCAAATGAAATAACTAAGTCCTCATTCAATTTTCTATTTTAGAAGGACCATTAATCCGGAAAACAAATAAAAATAAATTAATTTTTAATGGCTAATGTATATTTTTTCAAAATGAGACTTATAACACTAATATAGCTTTAAATAGAAACTATAAGACCCCAAACTCCTGTTTTTTCTCTTACTGGGCTGATTTCTTCACACAGCCTTTCTAAGGGTCAAAGTCCAGCATAGTCAGAGAGCCATTCAAGAAGAGTATGTGGGGTTTTTTCCACCTGCTGTCTTTTTGTTTTTAATACTGAGAACAATCTAATCTTCCCTAAGCAGTTTGACTCAAGAATTCTATCTTTTCCAGCAGCCACTATTAATAGGAAGAAGCTAGGCAAAGATTTCAGAAATCAAAGTACAATAAAACCTCATTTAATGGGAATGTTCAGGGGACGAGTCATTCCGGTTAATTAAATTTTCTGGTTAACTAAAAATTAACCCAACACCCTTTGTTCAAATCTTTCCATAGAAAAATCTTTCTAAAACGCATTAGCTTCTTTAATGCCTTAGGAAGTGTAGGGTGGTAAATGTAATTGAATCTTTGTTTGATGATCGAAGTCCTTGCAGTGCCCCGGAAAGATCATTATGAACATAAATACTCATTGTACTGTATGGTGGATGTAGACGGCCTAGGAGATTGTGTTGAATGGATAATCAGCTCGAAATATAATCTGAAAAAGTGTGTGTGTGTCTGTGTCTGATATACATCACATGTATTTCATTTATGTCTGTGTATCTTTGTGCTTTTCTCTTGAAATCAGAAAGTAAAAAAATAATACTAATAATCGAGGGTCCCAATTCATTGGTTTAAGTCCTTTTTTTTCTGTTTTGTTTTTGGGTATGGTCATAATTAGACTTCTCAAGACCAACTTTAAAAGGTTAGGGGTATGGTACTCTACATTATATACAGTTATGACATAGCTGTAATTTTTCTTTAGGACCTTTTTGCCTTCACTTTCTTTGTTTTACCATATAAAAAGACAATGTAACAATATCACAGAGTAACAACACAATCATTTTCAGTTCTACACGTTACTGTCTAATGGTCACCATATGCATGTGTATGTCTGCAAAGTTGTCATCATAGTGTAATATAATTTTATGTCTTGCTTTATTTACTTAATATCGTACAAGAAACACTTCCAATGTTGCCACACCGTCTTCATATTCATTTATTTATTCATTCAGCAAATATTTATAGACTGCCTAAGATGTGTCAGCCCCTGTTTTAGATGCTGGATACATAGCAAAGAACAAAAAGGACAACAACCCCTACCCTTAGGAAGCTTACATTATTGTAGGGATTATCATTTTAAATAGCTGGATAGTTCTCTTTTGCTTTTAATGTATTTTTGTACTTATTTGATAGCACCCTTTCGCCTTGCGGCCCTAGGCTCCTTATGCGGTCTCCATAATATTCTCTATGGAAACTAGCTCATGGGTTCTTGGGATGTCATAAACCCACTCATCTGAAGGTGGAAAAAAAAAAAAGCATTAGCAGAAACATAGCACTGTATAACACTTCACCCTGTGCCAGAGTGAAGCACTTGTTCTAAGCCCTGTGTTACACATTCAGATTGCATGACAATCCTACGGCGTAGGTAATACCCCATTTTTCAGAAGAGGAAACAGGCACAGTCGAACAAAGATATGAAACAATCTATTTGGAGGACATTGAAGCAACCACTCTAATAGTAATAATGGAACCTAATTTTTACCTGTGTCATTAGGTGCCAGGTGTTGTTCTGAGCTTATTCATTCATTTAATCCTTACAGTTTCAATTGAAAAGTGTGGAAACTGAGGCACACATTCGTAAGTATACTGTCAAAAGCCACACAGCTAGTAAAGGACAGAAATGGGGTTGGAACCCTGGCAGTCTCGCAGCATAGACACTCTCGGTGGCTTGCCTCTCACCAGCTGATATTTTAACATCTTACTCCTCCAAAGGGTGTTTGTATTATAAGAGTAGAAAGGGGAAGCTATTGCATCCCTAATGTGTAACCTCTGAAGCAGGAAATCATGATCCTTCTCCACTAACAGTACTGTTTGGACTGTGCTGTTTTCACCCCAAGGACAATATGACCAGATCACTAGCAAAACATTGGACTTGTGTGAAATAATCAGCTGACAATGGCTAATTCTGCTCACAGGTAAAATTTATTACAAAGCACAGAGCTTGCTGAGGAATGATAGCTTCTTGGTGATGCCGAAAACTAAAAGCTGATGTGGAAAATTAGACTCGTAGAAATTATCCACATGACATAAAACTCCAGACTTTAGACGTTCTTAATAACGTTTGGATCTGTCCGGTTTGACCCAGATAAAATTGGAATTAGTAAAAATGAGGGCAACAGAAGAAAACCCAAAGTGCTAAAAACATAATCAGTGAAGTTTGATAGGGACAAAACCTTGAATGGTGAATCAAACTTCGGTCGGAAACTTTACATCAAGGAGAACTGATCCCGATGAAAATAATTGCAGTAAAATAGAAATGGGAGTATAAAACAAAAACGGAAATGGTCTCACTACAGTGTATAGACAGTTTATCAAGGATTTAAACGATCATAATGGCATTTGCCAGGAAATTGTGGATCAGTTCTTTGAAGATGAAAATTCATTAATGTGAATGACATTCTGGTGACAAGATCTTATTCATACATACTAGGACAAAACGTTCTCAGTGTCAAATAGTGGAACCAATCATCTTGTATCAAAAATGCCATGGCAGAGATAGGGCTGAATTTGTTGGTATCTGACCAGAATCTGTTCCAGCTTTTTTGTACAGGTGTCCACTACCAAGAGCCCATGTTTACACATCATTTTAAATCAGTTTAGTTCTTTTTTTTTTTTTAATATTTAAGTTTATTTATTGAGAGAGAGTATGAGCAGGGGAGAGGAGCAGAAAGAGACAGAGAGAGACAGAATCCCAAGCAGGTTGTCCCTGTCAGCACAGAGCCCAATGCAGGACTCGAACCCACGAACTGTGAAATCATGACCTGAGCCCAAGTCGGACACTTAACCGACTGAGCCACCCAGGCACGCCTAAATCAGTTTCATTCTTTTAAACATTCTCCAGAATTTAGTTTGAACCTCAAACTAAATTTGGTATTTAGACTGAGAAGCAATAAACAACCATTTATTGATCATCTACTATCCACTTCAGCTTTGTTAGCTGCTGTGGGTTCATCCAAAAAGACCTAGTCCTTGATTTTAAGGAACACAAAAAATTGGAGAGTAGAGACACATGATGGCATGATTGAGAATACAAGAGAATATGTGATACATAATAAATAAGCAGCCATTCAGAGATGTAAAACACCCTTTCTAAATACTGCTCAGCCTAAAGCATAGGACTAGGCATTCAGAAAAGCACATGATATGTGCTGAAGAGATCAATGCTTGGAACTGTTTGGTTTTGAAAGTTGAATAAGATTTGTATAATAGAGATAGAGGAGGACATTGAGGATAAGGCAAAAAACAAGATCTGAATTAAACGTTTCCTTCTCCGTGCTCTCACAGCACTTTGTCTTTTACGACAGCTTTCCCCTTACATTATAAATACTTATACAGATAGCTGTCTCTCCTACTGGACCCACTTTGAGGGGAAGAACTGTGTCTTACTAACCTTTGGCACCTCTGCACATATCCTAATACCTATTTCCTCAGGGTTACTCTGTAATATTTAATAAATATGTTAGTGAAAAATTGAATGAGTGAAGAAAGAAATAGGAAAGCCCAGAGGGTGCTCAGGGATTGGTGAGTTAACTAGTCAGGATACTCAGGGATTAGTGAGTTAGCTAGTCAGAGGATATGCACAGATTGGTGAGTTAACTAATCAGGATTCTCAGGGATTAGTGAGTTATTGTCAGGATACTCAGGGATTCGTGAGTTAACTAGTTTGGGGTGGAAGTGGAACTAATCTGGAGGTTGCTGCCCGTCAGGCCACACTGGGCTTGGCTCCACAGATAATGGAGGAACGAGGTAGATTTTCAGCATGGTAATTATGGAGTGTTGAAGTGACCCTGGTGACAGCAGCTGCAACCCTTTATTGACTGGACGAAGTGCTTTGCGTGTGTTCGCTTGTTTAATTTTCATCATTCTGCGGATTAGGTGATATTAACTCCATTTGTGTTGACTGTATCTCTGAGAGGCTACGGAAATTACTTAGAATCGCACAGTCAGCAGACAGCCTAGCCAAGACTTGAACCCTGGTGTGTTTTACTGCAATTCCCATGCCTCCCACTAGCCACAGGGCTCCCTCAGGGACCCTGGTGATGACAGGAAGCGTGGACAGGACAATGCCTGGACCATTTGCGCTCTTACACTTAGGTCTCTGAAATGTGAAAATGCAGATTTGTCATCGGGTGAATCGAGCAGAGATTTACTGATGAAAAGAGATGTACTTCCTCTCATGGTACGCCTTAAACAGTACCTCTTCCAAGCCTGGAACCGCTCCTCGGATGAACTGCTCAGAACACAGAAACAGAAAGAGAAATGCTTGGTTACCGTGAGATCAAGTCTGATTTCATCTCTGTCTACAATTAATTATTCTCAATCAGATAACTCAGAGAGGTGTCAGGTTTTGCCTGATGAACTTAAAAGGAAAATTTCTGTTCCCTATCCTCTTCTGACCTTATTTAATTATCTGAATATTTGCATTTAGTATTTGACATGCTAACATCTAATGTTGGGGGTTCGTGATAGTAAACCCATAAATTCTTTCCATCTTTAGAAAAATAGTTCACTGTGAATTAATTTTGTCTCATTTCAATAGCAGTGATAATACTACATTCATTTGCTATTCCAGTAGCTATTACTTGCATCTTGACATAAATTGCTTTATAATTCAGTCTTTATTTTTTAGTTGCCTGAAATAATATCCTCAGTAGGTAAGGCCTTTCATCAAGAAATTGCTCCCAAGTACCCCATGTTCTAATGCCACCTTATTTTCTTCAGAGCATAATTTCAGTGGACTCATGGAAGATTTGAATTGAAATCCAATGTCTGTCTACTGCTGAAGTACCAGGAGCAATAAATGGCCCCTTTTTTTGTAGATGATTAAATAACAAAGTGCAGCTTAGGCATCTCATAATCACCAAGCCCAAATCATGCTATTGAATGAATTCTCCAACTGCGGCAGAAATCTTTCTAATACACAAGAGGAAAGGAGATGAAAGAAACCAGCCTTTCAAAGCTTTGTCCCGAGGAGGGACCGCGACTGTTATCTTCCCGGGTGATCATTGACATCGCATCAAGGTTGAATTACTGGCTTAGCTGAATGGGTCTGGGAGGATGAATCTAAAATCAAATGCCAGTTGAAGAGCACAATCTATGAAGAAAGGCAGTGGATGCAATTGAAGAATCATATGTGAGGGGATATAAGTTTGGCTTATTCAGAAATGAGAGTGACTGAATCTTCTTGTCACTTGGTGATCAATACATATTCTAGAAAAAACTGTTGCACTTCAGGTGACTTCCAGCCTAAGGATTAGGCAGAACCCTCTCCTCACTTAATTTGATCTTCTCATTGCACCATCCATCCTTATTTGCTAATGGAAACCTGACTCTAATTACCTGAAACATTGGGGCTGATACTTCCTACCCATCTTTACTATATTGAGGAAAACTTCTCGTTTCTAAAAAATTTAAATAATAAGGTTATGGATAATCCTCATGGAATGTTCATTTTTGTGGCACTTAAATTGTGACTCAGAATGTTTCATGTAGGACTGATCACATCTCAAGTTGTTGAGTTTGAAAGTGTTTGAATCTGGATGCAGGCTCTGTTCTCTAAGATCTTGATACTTAGCATGTCCCTGGACCAGCTTCCCATGGGAGCTCGTTAGCCATGCAGGATCTCAGGCTCCACCGCAAACCTACTGAATCAGAATCTGCTTTTGAACGGGAATCCCAGGTAAGTCATATGCCCATTAGAGTTTGAGAAGTGCTGCCCGAGAGGGGAGGAGGGCTGGAGGGAATGTTGCAGAACATTAGGTGTTCAAGGGAACATCCAAACTGATTGGTCAGAAGATTAGTGGAGGTTGAAAAGGAAGGGTGGAACACTAGCATGGAAACTGGGAGGAAGGGCTTCTCAGAAGCCAAAAAGGGACCCTTAAAAAGGACAGGGTTAGACCCTCACGTCAAATATTGTAGAAACCTTAGGGAGGCTATGTCTGTAAAATCCTACAGGATTTGGCATGAGGGAAAGTTCTTGGGGCAGATGAAGAAGCCAGATTGTGGGAAAGTATGATCTGGAAATAGCGACTGAGGGGTTTGACTAACGCGAGAAGTTTGCAGCTTTGGTGCCGAGAAGAGATTGGAGAAATCGCTTTGGGGGTTGGGAGCCCCCAGGAGAGGCAAAGGGAAGGCACTGTCGTGGAAGAGCTGAGTGGTGTTAGAATATTCCCGCGACAGGCAGGGGAGAGCTTTTAACTACAGGAGGCTCCGTCTTCCTGGTACAGAGGAGAGGGATGGTGGAAGATGAGAAGATGGATGAGAAGTCTTATGGCCACATGAGAGGAAGCCTTCTCAGCCCAGTAGGAGGGGAAAGCCTTTTGCTGAGAATGGAGAGAAGAATGTAAAGGAAGCTGAAAAGATAAATAATGTTTTGATTTAAAAAAAAAAAAAAAACTCTTACAGGGATGAAGAGACTCTTGACATTCCTCTACTTAAGGTTACAAAATATCTTTAATCAACAGGATGACTGTTGCCGGAGTAGATTTCTGGGTTTGGTATTCCAGTAGGTTGGGCTCTGTTGCTACGTAGTTAGCATATATGCTATGTGTGAGCTTAGCCTCTTGGGCTCCAGGGACCCAAAGCGCCTCTGTTCTACATGTCAAGTATTCCCCCCTCACGTACAACAATCTGATTTCTGGCCCCCGGGGCTATTGAATTTGTAGTCTTGAAACTCCTAGTCACCACCAGTTGATAGATCCAATGGTGATTTTCCAGCTGTCTTCTCCCTGCCTTTCTGCAATATTTGAAAAAAATTAACGGCCCCTCTTTCAACGAAACTGCCGTATGTACATATTTGTTGAAGAAACTATTAGAAATGATTTTTCTACTAAAGTGACCAAGCTGCTGAATCTTAGGGCCTCCATAAATGTTGCATCTTATTGTTTTCATTGAAAAATAAAGCATTCTATCTGATTACTTCTGGTAAATAGCAATTTTGTGTCTCCAGTGGTTTCAATTTTCCAAGCAGTCATGACAGTTTAACATGGTGGCTGCTGCTTTCAGGGGATTCTGTCAGATGAATCCTCATTTCTAGAGTAACCGCTGATGGCAAGAGTCCATCCATGAGGACTTCTCTGTCGTGGCCGGCCAAGGAGTCCTGCTTTGGCCGCTGAGGCTTCATCCCCCCGAATATGATTTTCCTGGGGTCTCAGGGATATTCTTTGTGTCATTTAGAAATATTTCTGTAAGCAGTGTTCTGAATAGGTGGTACCTTCAGGTTTTATTTCTCTTGTGAAGTCCAAAAAACAGTCCAAAAAACAAGTTTCTGTAAGTTTATTGGAGGTCCCAGGAAATCCCCACAATTGTTTTATCTGATCAGATTCTGGTATTTGTGCAACCACGTCCTTCAGGTATGCTAGAGATTTCCTTTTTCTTCTGGAAAAGCAGTTTTCCAACCTTGGCTTGGATGCCTCCAGCGAGGCCTGATTTCTTACTCCAGCACAGGCTCTTGCATCTGATACCAGTGAGTGGCTGGGGGCCGCGTTTCCAGTTGAGTCTGGGGGCAGGGGGGGCAGGGTCAAAGCAAGTGCCACAAGCTGCTAGATGGAGGAGCTGCCTTATATATATATTTTTAAATCAACAATATTGAGAGATAATTTATATTTAATAAAATGTACCTGTTTTAAGCATGTGGTTGGTTGAGTTTTGACCAATACATATACATACTCCTATAACCACTGCCGCAATCAAGCCATAGAATGTTTCCATCATTCCAAAAGATCCCAAGGCAACTACACGAATTTCATATCAATATAATCAATCCTACAATAGGCATTCTTTTGTGTCAACTTCTTTTGCTCAATGTGA